CAAAGGGCTGAGGCCTTCCATAGCATGTCCTTGTGATAATCAGGTGGGCATTTAAATGTCCCTTAGCTGCTGGTTACTCCATATGGAGTTGGCTTGGGCACTGGAGTTCTCGGCTTTGGAAGGCAGTTGACGCAGATAAATTGTAGGCCTGAGGACGTGAGTAGGGGCAGCCGTGAGGAGCTCAGGTTAGACCACATTAAGATCTGGTGCCTCTCCCATCATGCACACCACTGTGCAGTGAGACCCACTACCACTGTGCTTGGTAGTCCGTTCTGGCTCTTCCTGCCAAGGACACCTCCATGGAGGTCAGGCCCAAGGTGCTGGGTCTGAGCCACACTGCTGTCCTTGTCTGAGTCCCTTCCTCCTCCACTGACTTTATAGGAACCACTTAGCTCCAGCAATCAATTGCAAGGATAGACTTGTGCTGGGTCAACATATCTGAAGTTGTCATCTGGCTGTAGGGTATGGTGGCTTTCCGAAGGTGAGCCCGAGACACATGGCTGAGATGCCTACATCCTGGCCCACCTGGCCCGTGGCCTCTCCACTTCCTGTCTCCTGCACATTTGTTGATGAGCATCCTTTCCTCCAGTTCGAATTGCTGTGAGTAGGCAGGGCCTTACAGGCAGCTGGCCTGATCCCTGTGATGTGCCAGAGATGAGATCACCAGTGGGAGGTGCCAAGCTATGCAGCCTTGGAGCCAGGCCGTGACCCGTGTGACTCAGTCTCTGAGTTTAATCATCAGTAATATGCATTCACACGCATACACACCAGTGTACCAGTGCTGGGACCTTGCCTGGACCTTCTCCCTGGAGGGGACTGCCAGGCACATCTGAGAGGAGAATGCTGTGTGGGACTTAGGGTGGAGGGAGGGAGCTTGACAGAAACTGGCACATCAGGCCCCACCAAAGCCACCCGGAGAGCCCCCTTGATGCCTGCATACGGCAGCCCAGGAATTCTGGCAGAACCACCCATCCAGAGCATGGGGCTGGTGGCATCTCACTGAGGGGGAAAGACCAGCCTCTGGGCACCATCAGAACTGAAGTGCTGAGGGCATGGCATTGGAGACCCCCCCACTGGGTTGCACTGTGTCCCATCCCAGGCAGCTGGTGTCCCGCCCTGTGCAGGGCTGGAGTCCTGACATGGGAGGTCACTGCGAACATCTGATATGATGCCCAGCCTGACACTTCACAGAGTGTGATACTGCAAGTGTGAACTGTAGCTGTCTTTGGATCGCAGGGTCCCCTTACCCCTTCTCATGCCGTGTGCTCACCTAAGGGGTGCTGGCCTAGCTTTAGTCCTGGGTCCCCACTCTAGGCCTGTGGTCCTTTGTTCAGGTCACATCACCTCTGTGCGTCCATGGGCCTTTCCTGGGCATACTGGCAGGTCTAAACACAGTGGATCCTGGCTAGCCCTTTTCGGGGTACCCTGGTGAGGGATGGCACTGTGGATGGAGGATGCTCAGTGGCAGACAGCTCTCTAGCGGTGAGGGCTGGTGCAGTTGGTAGCTCCCTCTCCCCTCAGCCTGAGGCCTGAGGCCTGAGGCAGAGAGCTGGCATTTGGTTGAGGTGAGTTGGGTGTGGGGTGGAGCTGTGGTGAGATGGAGGAGGCGGGAGTGTGCTAAGGACTTTTCCATTGATGTGGTGTTAGAAATGGGTCTGGGCTGTCAAGAAAATGACCACATCATCCGAAGCATTTTGAAAAGGAAAAAGATTTACTTCTGCAGAAGGGTTTGTGTGTGACTGTGTTTGTGTAAGCAGGCAGCCACACTCAGTGGGGGTCCCACTTAGTTTTTATTCCTAAGGTCCCTTGTCTCACTCTGAGTGGTCAGAGCTCGACCTCACCCTCTAATACCTCTGACTAACTTTTTTGTTTGTTTGTTTGTTTGTTTTTGTTTTTTGAGACAGGGTTTCTCTGTGTAGCTTTGCACTTTTCCTGGAACTCGCTTTGGAGACCAGGCTGGCCTCAAACTCACAGAGATCCGCCTGCCTCTGCCTCCCGAGTGCTGGGATTAAAGGCGTGCGCCACCACTGCCGGCCGTCCTCTGACTAACTTAAAGGGACAGTTATTAGCCAAGTACAACCTCTGGTCTTTGAGAAGGGAGGGTTTCCTGTTGGATGCCTCCGTATAGATTTCTCTGAAGATGGAACGTCCTTTGTCCCGTTCAACCCTTCGACGGAAAGGGTGGCCCATCCATTTCCATTTCCTTCGGTGGGACTAGGGCAGTTTGACCGAGGAGATACTGGGTGCCCCACTGCTCTCCAGCATCTGTGGTGAGGACAGGTCCAGGGTTGAGGTGAGCCATACTGTGCTCCTGGGACCCTAACACTAGTGTAGACTTCATATAGGTGTGAACAGTCACCGTTTCCAGGCTGCTGAGTACCTCGCCTCATTGTACAGTTAGGATGCTGGACCACCGCGGAGCAGACGGCGCAGTGGGTGTGCATTGAGGGAGGGCCTAACTGCAGGGGAGCAGACAGCACAGTGAGTGTGCATTGAGGAGGGCCTGACTGCAGGGGAGCAGACGGTGCAGTGGGTGTGCATTGAGGGTGGGCCTGACTGCAGAGGAGCAGACACACAGTGGGTGTGCATTGAGGAGGGCCTGACTGCAGGGGAGCAGACGGTGCAGTGGGTGTGCATTGAGGATGGGCTTGACTGCAGGGGAGCAGGGCCTTCATTTGTGAGCCAGCAGAGAGATCACCACAGTGAAGGGCAGATTCCTACTAGTAAAGGAGTGTCTGCCTGTCCCTACCTGCCTGATCCGGTCACCATCTCTGCTGCTTTGTGAGGTCTTGATTTTACTTCGAGTGTGTTTCTTGTTGCAGAGTATGGCGTTTGTGAGAACCTGCGGAAGCTGGAGATCACAGGCGTGTCTTGCCGGGACGTCTATGCAAAGCGTGAGTCGGTCCCTTTGTCTTATCCACCACCCTTCCCTTTGCAGTGATGGTGGCAGCCGTGACTGATGGTGGGGTTGCTGCTTTCTCCTGTCCTGGACATACCGCTTTTAAGTTCACAATGGCTAAAGACATCCTTTTTTAAAAAAATTAATTAGTTAATTTATTTTATGAATGAGTGCTCTGTCTGCAGTACAACTTTATGCCAGAAGAGGGCACCAGATCCTACTATAGACGGTTGTGAGCCACCATGTGGTTGCTGGGAAATGAACTCAGGTCCTCTGGAAGAGCAGCCAGTGCTCTTAACCTCTGAGCCCTCTCTCCAGTCCCCGGCTAAAGACATCTTAATCAAGATATCCGGGGCCTGTGTTTCTATTTATTTAATCTAGATTTTACTTCTGGTGGTGCTGGGGGCTCAGTGCTAGGCAATGCTCTCTTTGTGACCTGCATCCCAGCCCATATGTTCTGCTTTTAACATACATGATAATTGTTTATGTTTGTGGGCTACAGTGACCTCACTACATGTACACAGCGTATACTGGTCAGGTCAGGGTGACTGGCGTATCTGTTGCCCCAAACATCTATTCCTGTGTTGGGAGCACTCTGTCTGTCAGTGTGAACGGTTGTCTGCTTGCTGTAACACAATGGTGCTGCCTCCTGCCCAGCTACAGCTTGCCCCTGTTACCAGAGGCCGGCACTGTGCAGTGTGGGCTGGGCAGGAACACTCTGGTCTTCTGGAGTTCAGTTGGGCCTGCAGCCTGGTGAGATGTAGACAGCTTGCAGGAAATGAGAAGCAGAGCCCTGTTTGCCATCAACTCCCCCAATTTTCAGAGTGGCTGCCAGTGCACCATGCTTCCCATCCTTCTGGAGCTCTACGTTCCCTTTTCTGTAAGCGTGTTAACGCCTGGTCATTTCTCATTTCACCAGCTCCTTTACTTTCTAAACACCCCCCCCCCCAAGTGTTCAGCATCCCGTGTCCCCAGTCAGCCTCTCTCCAGAGCCTGTGTGGCTCATATGTCCCACAATGTGGCCAAGTGGCTGCCATTCATATTTTGGGTGATGCCGTCCCCTTCTGACTGCTCTGAGTGTGGCTTCCCGACCCTCATCATCATCCTGAGCCAGCAGACACAGCTTGCTCCTTGGGAGCTATGAGCACCAGGCATCTTATCTTCACAGGGACGCAGCTGTGGACACTGCCCAGGTGTCAGTGTCCTGTGGGAGCCCAGGGAGCACACAGAGATGGGGTTCCTCAGCTGAGCTCCTCTGTCCTGTGGGAGAAACCACCTGGGTACAGGGCCTGGAGACAGTGTTGCCGATGTGGGTGGAGGCAGGCAGGTGAGGACAGCAGGGTTCTGCTGTTTGGCTCTGTGAATGCGCTGCAGCCCAGAGCCCATCCTCTGCCTGCCTCCTAGCGCATGCACGGGGCTTTGGTCTGCCCTGGCCAGAGCATACTTGAGGGGTGACTCCTGCATTGTGGGAGCTGAGATTTTAAAAGCCTGCGTGACCACCGCTAAACTCTGGGACCAATGGTTGAAGAGAGTCCGTCTGCGTCCCTGAACAGGTGACCAGGCTGGTCAGCCTAGAGTGAGCAATGACAGGTGTGACGTCACCTTAAACACACAGCACGGGGACAGGGAGCTCCTGAAGCTGGCTGTGGGCCAGTGTCTTTGTAGGGAAGGAACCCTGTCCCACTCTCTAGGGACCCATCAGCCACCCCTGCTCTCCCACTTCTAGGCCCCAAAGAGCTGTGACAAGGGAGAAAGGAGGTCCCAGGGGCCCCCTGAGTTTATGGCCTCCGTGAGTTGCAGTAAACAGAGAAACCTGCCCCGTAGTCTGCCCTGCAGCAGCTGTAGGAGAGGCAGGAGGAGGAGGTGCCGAATCACATGGCATCTGCTCGCCCGTGAGAGGGGACCCTCAGCCTTTCCTGCTGTGTCCGTTCAGGTATAAACCCTCGCGTGAAGTCAGGCCGCTTCATGAAAATCCTCCCCGATTACGAGCACATGGAGTACAGAGATGTGTACACCTGCCGTACGTACCCCCCCACCCCCACCCCCCTGCGCTGTGGCTGCTGCTCCTGCTGCATGGACGGCCACAGGCTCACTTCCTGGCCTGGGGGAGACGCTGACCCCGGGCCTTTTCTCCTTCCCTCCTTTGCTCGTTGCAGCTGTGGTCTGTGGTTTGCCGTGGTGGGCCATGCTGGGTGGTAGCCTAAGCTCTGTACGCGTGGGCTGCGTTTCCACAGTAGCTTCTAGGGCCCTGGGCAGCACCGGTCACAGTGGTTTGGGGCAGGCATATCTTACCTATATTTTTTAGGGCAGTGACAGAAAAATTCAGGTAGAGCAGAAGGCAGTGTAGAGGCCGTTAAAGCTCCTCCATTCCAAAATAACATGTAACTGGGCTCAGTGCCACATGCCTGTGAGCCTAGCACTCATGAAGCTGAGGCAGGAGGATGGCGGTGAGTTCTCGGACAGCTTGAGCTATAGAGTAGGACAACTTTCAGAAAACAAAATAAAGAAAAGCAAGCAAAAAAAAAAAAAAACCCAATGAAATGTAAACCACCCTCTAAGTTTGTCAGTTAATCGTGTGAACTCACAGAAAAATCACCCTTCCCCAGCCCCCCAGCCCCCGTCAGACGCAGGAAACCACTGCTGCTGCTTTAGAACTGGATTCTTGGGCCAACAAAACGGCCCAGTGGGTAGACGTGCTTGCCTTGTAAGCCCAATTACCCGAGTTCAGTTTCAGGAGCTCACGAAAGGGTGGGAGGGGCCGACTCCATCAAATTGTCTCAACTCCACGTTCCGACAGTGGTGTGTGGACACAGACAGACAGACAAAATTCTAATGAAGTTTTCAAAAAGTCACCTGACTTCCTGCTCTGACTGAGTCCTGGAAGTTTTCCTCGACACAGGGAGAGTGAATTTCAGGTGTCAAGAAGGAAATCAGAGTGGCCGCAGAGATGGCTCAGAGGTTAAGAGCACTGACTGCTCTTCCAGAGGTCCTGAGTTCAATTCCCAGCAACCACATGGTGGTTCACAACCATCTATAATGAGATCTGGCGCCCTCTTCTGGCCTGCAGAGATGCGTGCAGACAGAGCACCCAATACATAGGAAAGAGATCAGAGCTGGGAGTGGTGGCCCAGCCTGCCACCCCAGCTCCTGGTAGAGGATTAGGAGGCCGGTGGAGGAGGCAGGAGGATTAGTTTAACTATATTGTACTATATAGTTTGACTATATAGTAAGTGTGAGGCCAGTCATATCTCCAACAAAACCCCAAACAAAAGTTATGAATGGCCATTTCCCCTCTAATAAAAGCGGTAGAATGAATAGACAAGCTTGTGCTGTTTCCCAGCGTGCTGTCAAGGGCCGGGCACATAGCTACACTGGACACCAGTTCCTGACTCCCTGTGGGAGCTCTGTGAGACGCTTGCCTTTGTCTGGTGTGCTCCTGAGTGGCGTGTGGGCACTCTGAATAGCCACTAACAAACACCTTTGCTGTATTGGCTGGCACAGAGGTAGACTAACTGTCAAGGTCATGACCAGGGGTATGGGAAGCCCTGGGCAGGGGAGGGCACGGGACCTGGCCAAGACTGAGCTTGGGAGGGCTGGCAGTTTGCAGAGTAGAGACAGTGTTTCCAGAACACTGTGTCCTGAGCCAGCCAGCCCTCCCTGCTGAGCGGAGAGCTCTGGAGAGCGAGACTGGCAGGTCCTGCCAGCCCCACAGGGAGGAGGTGGCTCTGGGAAGCCATGGGAACAACTGACCCCGTGCAGGGCCAAGGATCTTCTGCACCCCCGGTCCTGCTGCAGCCATGGAATTCTTCTGGAACAGCATGGAAGCCCAGCCCTCCCAGGAGATCTGGAGAGCATAGGGCCTTCTCCTTCATTCCTGGGAGGTACTGCTGAGTGCCTGGGTTTTTTTAGCCTCCTGTTTGGTGGTCCTGCCGCTTGTCACTGGCAGCAGAGTGGCGGAATTGCTGTCCTGCCAAGGTTTGAGTGCATCTGAGTCACACACAACTTGGTAGGGGCTCGGAAAGCCTGGGCACTACAAGAACCGTCGCTGGTGGTGAGCCCCTGGTAGCCCATGGCCTCTGAGTGCCAGAAAAGAAGAAAATGAACCCCACTATCTGACCTGGAGCCCTCATGCCTCTGGCTTCCAGGCACTTAGCACGTGTCAGCTGCGCTCTGAGGTGTGTTTTCTCACCAGCCTGCTGTGATGCCTTGCACACAAAGGCTTTGGGACCTGGCCCTCTCTGGGTTATTGTCACCCACGGGGGTCTGTGTTGGGACTTATGTGTAAAGTCCCTTGGATCCCAGGCTCCTGGGGTGGAGAGGTGATGAGAGGTCTCCCGAGTGTGGGACTGTCCCAGGCAGACGTAGGTCTGTGGAATGCCTGTGACTGGCCTCTGTAGAGCGTTCAGGGACACCTGTGTCTTTGGTTGGTGCTGTCAACCTTCCTTGTGTGGGTTGAGGGGAACTGCAGAGCGTTCTGAACTTACAGGTCACTTGGAGTGACTGTGGGGGCCAGGCCTGTGGGTGATGTGCCAGAGTTCTGAGGCAGGGGCAGGATTGAGGACATGGCCTGGCCTGTGGTAAGAGGATATGGATGGCCCCTGTGAACCTTGGGCTGTACAGTGGAGTATGGTGGGAGGCCTCCTGTAGAGAGAGGTCCAGATCCTCCCTCCCTAAGAAGCCTCTAACATCGATGCTCCCAGAGAGACGGGGAGCGCACCAGAAAGTCTAAAAGCAGACACTCAGAGTGGGCTCATTTCTCATTCTTGTGCACTATGGCGCTTCTGGCTTTGACCCAGTGACTAGGACGAGAGGCTTATCAGTTGCATTTTTCCTTTTGGACAAGAGGGAAGTGTGGGGCCACTCAGGCTCACCCACTGTCTGCAGGCAGACCTGAAGACGTAAACGCATTCAGTTATTTTCTGTCTTTGGTGGGGGCCATGTTTGGGCTGTTTTTCTGAATATTGCTTAACTGACTTTTTGTTCTGGGCAAGCCGAGGCTATCACTTGGGATAGCACAGGACTCACCCTGGGAGGCAGGGTTAGTGTTTCAGTTGACTTTGTAAGCACCTGTAGACTGGCTGCCGGGAGAAGCAGCTGGTTTCTTCTCCTCTGGGTGTCCAGCTCTCTTGTTGGTGTGAGCAAAGGGAGGAGGCTGGCTTCTTCTCCAGGGTTTATGTGTAAGTTAATGCACCACCAGATGGAGTCATCTGTGGCATGTCCTTCCTGTTCCCATGGCACACCGTCACTAATGAGTTTGTGAGTTGCAGTGTTTTCTAAAATGATTCTAAAATGGGTGATTTCTCCAGCTTTTCTATTTTTCAACTATAAATGATGACAAAATGTTACTTTTTCCCTTTTGCACCGGCCCTTTATATATGCTGCAGGATGACACAGTGGCCATTCTTTGGAGTGTGCCCGGATCACCCTGCACTCTGGGCTCTGATATTGCCTGCCATGCTTGTGAGTTTAGAGACAGGGGCCAAGGCAGTCTTAGGAAGCTCTGGTCCCCGTGGGTCAGTGTCCCTGCAGTCTGGGTATTCTTGTAGTTCTTTGGAAATGGCTGGTGGCATCCCAGGCTAACTAGCCAGCCTCCTACTTGTTAGAGTTGCTGAGGATGTGGCTGGTGTTTGATGCATTCAGACTAAAATGTCCACATTAGTGTGCCCCGTGCCTGGCCCCTCCCTGGACTCTTCCTTGTGTTGAGTTTGGCATGTGTCTCTGAGCTGTTTGTCAGTAGCTCGGGTGTGAGCATCCGTCAATCACGGCCGCTTCATCGTTTCCAAAAGTCAGAGAGCCTGAGCCTGACCCTGGGCAGAAGATGATCCATATCTTGTCTTTAGAATCCCCCGTGATGGTCTTGGGCTGAACCTAGGGGTGGTAGCAGTTCTTAAACAGCGTCAAAGGCTGGGCTGTCCCTCACCCTGCACCCCAGGCCAAGGCCTCTGGCCCCTATCCCTTTGTGGTCCTGCCTGGTCAGCCTGAGTGTAGGCTGTGCTCAGTAGCCTTCTGTGACTGTGTGGCCTTCAGAGACTCCATGCCCCTGCACCGGGCAGTCAGGACCTTTAGGAACACCCTGATTCATTCATCTATCATTCTGAGCAGAAGCAGTGGCCATGGTGACAGGCACAGGCTGGACTGGCATCTCCAGTGGCTTATGGTGGAGGTGTTTCCTGTGCCTCAGGAGCATACTGGGTGAGTGGAGCATGCTGGGTAATAGTGCTCCTTCTCTCCCCACAGTGCTTCACCGATACAGACACATTTTGGGGCTGTGGCAGCCAGACATCGGGCCGTATGGAGGACTGCTGAACGTGGTGGTGAGTGGGAGCCTCGTGGTGGTTCTCGTGCGAGCAGGAGGTGCCCACACTGGAGAGCGGCAGCACCGTTTCTTGGCTCAGTAGAGGAGACTGAAAAGCCAGATGTTACTTTGCAAGTGCACACAGATTTGTTGTAAGCAGTCCATCAGCCTTCTCGCTGTGCTCCTGGACTGCTGAAAGACACTCAGGCAGCCGTAGGGTCCTCAGCTCCTGGATGCGGAGGTTGCAGGATCCTGGCTGCAGCCACAGGCTCTGATGTGCAGTTGTGGGCTGAAGGAGAGGACAACCCTGCCTGGCGTGACCCACTGTCTCCTTGCTGCAGGTGGATGGCCTGTTCATCATCGGCTGGATGTACCTGCCTCCTCATGACCCCCATGTTGGTGACCCCATGCGATTCAAGCCACTGTTTAGAATCCACCTGATGGAGAGGAAGTCAGCTACGGTGGAGTGTATGTACGGCCACAAAGGGCCCCACAACGGCCACATCCAGGTAGAGGAGAGCGAGGTCCCCTGTGACGTGACACAGGCATGCGTAACTGAAGGGCCATCCTCCTTTGATTGTCACGGTCCCATGCCATCCTGGTGGGTGCCAGGAACGTGTGCCATGGCGCCTTTAGCTGTGGTCTGTCACAGTTCTACTATGACCCCTGGCTGTAGGCTGAGGCTTGTCCAGCTCAGTGGTGTGAGGAAAGGGTCTCCCCGACGCCGTGTGTGTCTGTGTGAAGATGGAGGTTGCCGGGGCCCCCGGAACTCCCTTTTGCCTGGAGCTGTGCTCTTCTCCCCGTAGGCCAGTTTCTGGCCTTCTGCTGGCTGGTGCGTCAGTGTGCAGGCACATGCTCCAGTCTGAAGCTGGCTCCCGTGAGCCCAGTGGGGGAAATGCCGTGCCTGCCTCTGGAAGTGCACATGCCGGGAGATGGGGCTCTGGCTGTCTTCCAATGGCGTGTTACAGATGCATTTGGGTCTTTTTTGTTTTGAAAGTTAAAAAAAAAAGACAAATCAACCTGTGTGTGTGTGTGTGTGTGTGTGTATGTGTGTGTCCGCGCACACGCGCGCGTGCAAATGTACATGCCACAGTGCACATTTGAAGGTCAAAGGACAACTTATGAGAGTCAGTTCTCTCCTACTATGTACGTTTTAAGGATCAAATTCAGATCTTCAGGCTTGGTTGATGACAAGTGCCTTTACCTGCCAGGCCATCTCACTAGCCCCTCAGAAAATTTATTTGGGTGGGCATGTGTGCATATATTCACCTGTGTGTGGATGTATGTGAGCTGGTGTGTGCACCCATGTGGTGGTGGGGCCCACCTCAGGTGGTGTTGTTACCTCTGAGCCGTCCCTCTTGTGTTTTGAGTCAGGGTCTCTTGCCGTGACCCGGGGCTGGCCAATGATGCTCGGCTGGCTAGCGAGCCCTAGGGATCGCCCTGTCTCTGCCTCCCCAGCTCTGAGGTTCCAAGCTGTGCCACCACATGACCACCCAGGTCCTCATGCTTCCACTGCAGGCATCTCACTGACAGCCATCACCATCACCACCGAGTGACATGCTCCAGCCCTCCTTTTATTTTGAGACAGTTTCCCTGAGTTGCCCATCCCCATCTGGAGTCCACCCTCTTGTCCAGGCAGAACCTGGAATGTCCTGCCTCAGCCTCTCAAGTAGATGGAATTACAGGCCTGCACATCAGACTTGACATGTTTGGGTCTCAGTGGGTTTGGTGGGGAGGGTGGTGGACATTAGGACTCATTGATCCTCCTGGTCCTTTTCCTTCTGTGGTCACACTGAAGATCGTGAAGAGAGATGAGTTCTCCACCAAGTGCAACCAGACAGACCACCACAGGATGTCCGGTGGGAGGCAGGAGGTGAGTCCTGGGGTCTAGGAGGGAGGCTGTGGAAAGATGTTTGTATGCCTGGCTGTCTTTTCTCGTGGGCGCGAACCTGGCCTCCTGCTGGTTGAAGCAGAGGCACGGGAGGTCCCATCATTTGGAACTGCCACCTCATAGCCAGCATCATTGCTGCACGTTGTCATGCCAACTCCTTCTGTGCAGAGCGTGTCTGTGGTCCACCTTAAAGCAGCATCCACGCGGACATGTGCATGACATAGCTTCTTTTCCCCCAGCAGTTGGAAATCCCTGCTCTCCCAGCACATTCTAGTGGGATCCCACCCACTTAGACCTCTAGAAGCTGTGTCTAGACGTGTGATGCAGGGGCCCCCTGAAAGCTGCTCAGGGCTATTTTCTCCACACAGGGGACCTGGTGGCCTGGGGTTCTAGAGCATGGCAGCACAGTGGATACCCATGTGTGCTTGGCTTCCTGCCACTTGCACAAGTGAGTTTATGTTGCTTTTGAGGTTTGAGCTTTGAGCTTTGATTTTTGAGCATCTAAGTTTGCACCACCACTAAGGACAACTTGAGATTGTTGAATGTGGGTGTCTGGTGGAGCTGTTTATGATGGGTGTGCATCTGTAGCCATTTTCTGAGTTTCCAGGGTTCCTGGTGGCCAGAGACCCACAGGAGAGTTCCAGTGAACAGCGCTTGCACTTGGTGGCGTCCCTGCCCCAACACTGCCACTAAACTTCGGTTTCCTGCGGTCATGACTTGCTGCCCCTCTGAGATTGTTGGAATTCTCATTTACGAAGCCCTCAGCTGTGAAGTCCTTAGAGGTCATGGGCTCATTTTCTGGAAAAATGGGATGGGATTTGAGGGGTTCTAAAGGCTCCCAACACAGTGCGCTCCTGGCTGAAACAGGAGCAGGTGCTTTCCTGAGAGCTGAAGTGTCTTCGTGAGGAATGAGCCAAAGACATCCTGTGTTCATAAGTTCTGGGTTTCCTTGGCTCTGAGCCCTGGTAACAAGTGTAGATCTCTAGTCACATCCCAGACAGGCATGTCCATCCCAGGGGTCCAGAGACACTGCCCGAACTTTTCTTTACAGCAGCTAAACCAGCCCCCTTTCCTTGAGACAGTGGCCTCTGGGGGTGCGAGAGAGCTGGGGAGAGCAGAGGTGCCGGGAGAGGAGGAAGTTTGGCCATGTCGTCATCCTTGGCCGTCTCCCAGGGCTCCCGGGAGCATGATGGTGATTGCTGAGTGCCAGGCACAGCGTGTCCCCTGGATGGATATGACAGTCACTCCTGAGCTGTGTTCCAGGCCCTGGTGCTGTCCTCGTGTAGCTGGGGCTTGCCCTGGTGGCTGCAGACCTTGGCTCTGAGCAGTGGAGACCTTGGCTTCTCAGTGGTGTTCACTCCAGTCCGCTCAGTGTGCTTCTGATGAAGTCTTTGCTGCTCCCATTTGATTGCTTTTATTTTGTTTGTTACCTATTTGGTTTTTATGAAAAATGTTTCCTCCACAAGACCAGCCACTGTAATGAAAGGTTTAATTTTGAGGGTGGGACAGGTTTTACTAAGTCTTAATTAAGCCAGCCTGGTTGTCCTGGGGCTTACTTTGTAGATTGGGCTGGCCCAGCACACAGAGATCTGCCTGCCTCTGCCTTTTGAAATTTTTATTTTTAATATACGCGTGTGTGTGCGCGTGCGCTTGTGTGAATATTTGTCCGAGTTCAGAAGAGAGAATCAAATCACCTGGATCTGGAGTTATAGGTCATTGTGAGCTGCTAGATGTGGGTATTGGGAACTGAACTCTGGTCATCTGGAAAACAGGAAATGCTCTTAGTCACTGAGCCATCTCTTCAGCATGAGGAGTTTAATGTCAGTGGGGCCTAATTTTAAAACAATTTTTTTTTGTTTTATTTATTTATTTATTTATTTATTTATTTATTTATTTTTTTCTGAGACAGGGTTTCTCTGTGTAGTTTTGATGACTGTCCTGGAATCTTGCTCTATAGACCAGGCTGGCCTCCAACTCAGAGATCCACCTAGCTCTGCCTCCTGAGTGCTGGGGTTTTGGGGGGTAGTTTAAAAAGCCTTACCCCAGTTTGCAGACAACCTTTCCTTCCTCTGTTTGATGAAGCACATTTCTTTCTTTCTTTCTTTCTTTCTTTCTTTCTTTCTTTCTTTCTTTCTTTCTTTCTTTCTTTCTTTCTTTCTTTCTTTCTT